GGCTGTGACATCACCGCCCTCACGCATTCAGTGACGTCACGGCCGTGATGTCACCACCCGAGTGACATCGCAGCAGCGCCCGTGCCCCTCCCGTGACATCGGTGCTGTGACGTCATCGCCGCTTTGACGTCATCACCGGGAGCCATAACCGGGGGCAAACGGGACACCGGGGGGGGGAGGTGAGGGGCATCCCCCTTGGGGGAGGGGGGGGGGGATTTGTCCGGGTCGATGACATCACACCGGGGGGAGGGGGAGGGGGTTTGCCGGGTCGGTGACGTCACACTGGGGGGGGGGGTCACAGTATTAACCCTTCGCGTACGTGGGGAGGGGCCGGGGGGGGGGCGACCCCCGCATGCCTGGGGGTCCCGGGGTGCCCCCCCTATTTACAGCCGGGGGTTTGGTGGGGGGCTCGGGGGCTCGGGTAAAGCTCAGCGCCCGGGGGGGCCCGCGGCGCTCCGGGGGTCCCCGGGGGTAGCACCGGGCCCCACCACCACGATGGGCACCGGGGGCCCCCCCGGGGCCGCCCCCCCGCGCTCGTGCTCCTGCACCGGGCTGAGCGCCTTGGGGGGACCCCGCGCCCCCCGCTCGGGCTCCTCCGGCCCCGGGGGGGGCGGCTCTGCCCCGGGGGGGCCCCCGAGCAGCAGCGGCAGCTCCTGCCGGCCCAGGCGGCGGGCGGGGGGCGCGGGCGGGGCCGGCTCGGCCGGGCCCTCCCCGTCCCACTCGGCCAAGCTCTGCAGCGGCGGCTCGGCCGGGAAGTCCTTTCGGGGGGGCTCCAGCCCCAGCTTGCGGGGGGGCCCCGGCGCCGCCTTCTCGGGGAGCCCGCGGCGGGCGAGGCGCGGGGACTCGGCGGCCTTGGGGTGCAGCTTGGCGGGGAAGGCGGGCGGGGAGGCGGCGGGCGGCGAGGGCGTGTGGGCGAGCGGCGACAGCGGGATGCTGCCGGCGGAGCGGCACCGCGCCGCCCGGTACTGCCGCTGCAGCTTCGGCGACAGCCCCTGCAGGGAGCTCGGCCGCAGGTGCGGCCCCGCCGGCGACGGCGGAGCGCTGGAGCCCGGTGAGCTGCTGGGCGGGGAGGCCCCTGCGCGGAACGGGACCGGGCACCGGGACTGAGCACCGGGACCGCCGTCCGCTACCGTGGCCCCGCCCCCTCGCCTTGGCCCCGCCCCCTCGCCATGGCCCCGCCCCGTACCTGGGTCGCGCGCCCGCGCGTGCGTGGGGGAGGCGGGCAGCGAGTCGGAGGAGGAGAGCGAGCGGCTCAGTGACGTCAGCGAGCGGCTCGTGTGCAGCAGCGAGGCCTGGCGGGCGAGGTGCCGGAACAGCGCACTGCGCCGCCTGGCGGACGGGAGGACCCGTCACGTCCCGCCGCCGCCGCCGCTCCCGTGCGCCCGCCGCCACCGCTCCCCAAAAACACCGCCCCCGGTTCCCACCTCTCGTGGCCGCTCCCGGTGCCTCCCCGGCGGTTCCTCCGGGCCATCTTGGCGCGGGCGCTGCGGCGCCGCGCGGGGCCCAGGCGGATCGAGGTGTTCTCCAGCGGCGTCGTTGTCACCAGCACCTTGGTCCCGCTCTGGGTGACAGCGGGTCACGGGCAGGGCCCCCCCAACGCCCACCCCCCACCCTGGTCACGGCTGCCCTGCC